CTCATCTTTGTTGCCATACTTATCACAACATTTTGCCCGTTGTACAATCCGGCCTTCTTCAGGTGGTTGGAATGTCGAAATGAACCCTTTATTTCACTCACTGGGTTAGACTGTTCTAGTTCCACGTGCCATGTTTAATGGATGTCAGTTATCAGTTATCTCCTGTTAATTTCCCTCTGAAAGTTCTTCACTGCCTTAACCGGGTATTGAACTCACACTCTTTGGGTCCTGTCACTGGATCAATCATTACCAAATGCTTCTTGTATAGAAACGGTTAATTTCACCATTCCAGTAACTCAACTCTCCGTTTAAATTTTCAGTTCATAATCAGTGGCAATAAAATGCTGAATTAAAGAAGTAGTATTTTCTTGTTGTACCTGCAAAATTGTTTTTCCATTTCTAAATTTGAAGAAAACAAATAGTATACTTGTGGAATTACAAAAATTCAAAGAATATGATGGAATTACAAAAATCTTTATATATATATATATATATATATATATATATATATATATATATATATAAAAACAAAAACTGAAAGAAAACACATGTAGAATATTACAATACATACATACGTAGAATCAGTTGAATGTAAAAATCTGTTTAAAAAATTACACAAATAAGGAATCATTTGTCATTGCCCTAAAAAATGAAATGTATTTTTATTGAAATTTTAGCAGGGGCTATTTTAATTTTATAGGATTATTATTAAATAGGTTGGTAGACATTCCTAGGTTGTGATTTAGAGATGTTTCAAATACGTGTACCACTAAATATAACATTTATAGTAATAATAGGCAATGTTGGTTTAAAAAATTCATTGCTTAAACATTACTTAGTTCACATTGGTTATAAAAATTTCTTAGTTCACATTGGGTATAAAAATATAATTATCAGATGTAGAATTGAAAGGTCCCAATGAGAGCTGCACATTTCTTAGGTAAATTTACATTTTACTTATGGCTAAATGATAAAGTACACTTGACTTCCAAGCAATTTCCCAAAATAAAAAGGAATACAAGTTTGATTCCTGTGGGGATGCACATTTTCTTTAAAACTTTCAATGTCTTTCACTGTTTAAAAAAAACAGATGTATACTCAGACATATCTACTCGTTAAATATAATGTTTATACAGTATGCCCCACAAAAAAACAGGAAATTTGGTACAGTTTATTTAATTGTTGGAATTTTTGTTACAGTTATTTGAAACAAAAGCAAGGATAGAAATTAAAACAAAAAAGGGTACATTAAAACAACAAAAACACATGTTAAATGTAATGTTCAAACTAAAAAATACCTGTCAAAATCTTTTGGCATTTTTTCAATCCTCAAGGTGAGTGTTCTTTCTTAAATAACAAATGGTTAAAAAATTTATATGTTAGTTAATTTTTTTAGTTCATTCATTTTATTTTTTATATGTTAGTTAATTTTTTTTATCATATAGTAAATCTAAAATTTCCTCTTTTTGTCAGGCATCCTGTAGTAATAAGAAACTCTTGATAGATAAGAAATCTTTTGGAAATTGTATCATGTTGGTGAGGGCCAATATGCTTATAAATGATTTGCTCAGTCCCAGGGAAGAGCTGCCTGTGGCAGTCCATCCCTCATTCCACTAGAGAGTGGGAATCAGTAGTAATATCAATGCCAGCAATGGCCAATCAGCACACGACTTGCTATTGGTGAAAGCATGCCAATCTGTACAAAAAACCCTCATCATTGCACATACTGCTAGAATGGCTGGACGGGAGAGTAATGCCATTTTCACAAAGCAAACTTGCTGATGTCACGTGCCGCACGTTAAGGTAAGACACTTATTTTCCTATACACCAGATGCAAGCCACTCTGGCTTGCTTGCTTCTACGAGGTTGTTCACCACAAATTTTTGGGTAGCCTGTACTAGTGAGCCAGTCAAAATGAGCTGACTCATTTTATAGTTCACCAATAGAAGGGTTAACCAATCAGAAAACTCAAAATATTCAATCCGATGTGTATAAAGGCAGCCATTTTGTTTTTTTCTCCCAAAATATCTTCACTGCCAACCTCTGATATCGAAGACTTAAAGAATTACTTAACAGCTGCTACTTTCTCCGAATCTTCACTGCCAACCTCTGATATTGAACACATTATGGACTTCACTGGATTCTATATTCAGAGACTATGGCAAACATGATCAACAGGAACATTAAGTAGTTTATATTTTTGGTGGTGGAGGAGGCTCTTCTTTAAACAGCAGGAAAACTTAAGTAATAAATTGCATGAAAAGTAATCACAAAATATTTTGGACATTTCAGGGTTGTGTGTCTAGCAGTTTTGTATAACTTGAGCCTGATAGAAAAATATATCACACCAGCAGCAGTACTAAGACATTTTTTATTGTCATAACAAGCTACAATCCAAGTCTTCACCTCTTACCCAATATAAACAGGTACCTCAGCAAGTTGAAATATATTTATTAATGTATGTCTGTTGGTGTGTTTATTTCTTCCCTATTATACAAATTGAGATGAACAACTCTACAACTGTCAAAATAGGTTTTATTCAAACTTTCATCAAGAATGTCATGAACATGTTGGATTTCACTTCTAAGGCCATTTGAGGTCACAGGGAAACAAAACTGAAATCTCTTAAAATGCCAGTGTTGTCAAAAGTTGTAAAAAATATGATGGGAATCAATTTCAAAGATACACATCAACAAACATGATCAGTTTTCATCATGCCTTTCCCAATATTTAGAATTTCAGAGGTTTCTAGAATGTTCAGATTTATTTTTTAATTACAGTGCATTCCAACAGTTTATGCAAATAAGAAAATTTACAATAATTATAAAATTAATGATTGGAAAGTCTTAATTTTGGTAAAATATTATAAGTATTGTAAATAGAATACCCCAAAGTCTTAGGTTGCATTATGAAATGGAATTTTTTTTTTTTTTTTTTTTTGTAAATACTATTCCACTTTTTATGCCATTTGAGGTAAATAGCATAAAAAGTAGAATAGAAATCAGTGTGTTTATGTAAGGATAAAAAAATGAAAATCAGTAATATATTCAAAGAAACATATATTCAAAACTGAATTGGGTGCAACAACAAACAGAAAAAAAGTAATATTATTTACTGATATGACTTGAATCAACTTTTTGCCAATAGAAGTTAATTTAAAAATTTCTTTAGAAGTAATGGTTTCACAAACAGTTAATATTACTTTCTAAAGTTCATTTTTGGACACAAATTGTTGATCACTCTCACATCATAATAATGCATCAATTGCATTTACATCCATAGATTATGTTGGCTATATATTATAAGCCTGTTATTTTTAAACATGAATTTGCCAAAGTATTTGTAGTGAGTACAAGATAATAACTCCATTTACCCATTCCCTTCAAATTCAGACAACTGAGGAAAAAGACAGAAAGGAATTTGTGAGCCTATGTAAAAATTACTTTGGACCTATGAAAACCTTGCCTTCACAGAAATTGACTGATGAGCTGAAAAGGTGGAAATAAATTTGCGAGCCTTTGTGAAATTCCTTTTGATATAAAATGAGGAGAAAAATTAATAAGAGGAGAGTGTCTGAAGTCATGTGAAAGGTTTTGCTTCTGTTCACCACATCTAGGGTTGAAGTTCTAGCCAGTGTAAAATTACTCATCAATTATATTATCGACCTTTTAACCAAGTATGCAATACTTCAAAAAGTTTTCTCTCAACAATCCAAGTGAGCTAAGTATTTCAAACTATCTTACTTTGTCTACTTTTGAAAGTATGCAAACCATATGTCCCTTTAATAAGCAACAAACTCTTACCTTTGTTTTAAACATTTTTGAATATTATTTTTTGTCAGATCATTTAATCTGTTGTATGAACATTTCCTTTTCATGGCTATTCATTAAAACTACTTTCTTTAAAAATTTCTGATTTATTTTCCTGAAACCAGCTGACACATCTTCAAGCATGTAAATTTGTAAATAAATTCCTTATCTTGTTTTGTTAAAATTACCCGTGTATTTCCTTGTCATTATCCTCCTTCATTAATCTTTTTGAGTGGGTAAATCAACTGTTCATTTTAATCCCTAAGCCCCATGCCACTATATATTAATTAGTTGCAGTATATGTTGGTATATTGTAATGCATAAAAATTACTTTTTCTTTGGATGCCAGTCTCAAGTCTGAAGGGTGGCCTTTGGGAATTCAATGCAGGCAGAAGAGTTCATTTTAATCACATTGTTCATCTTCCAAAGACCAATTATTGAATTACTGATGATTTCCACCCAAAACATAACCCCTCCACCTCTTTGTTGATATATCAACCAAATAAGGATAAGTTCCTACTTCAGGCACCATCCATTTTGCCAACCATCAGGGCCATTCAGCATGACCAAGCACTTTCTGGAAATCCAGTTTCATATATTTTTTTTAGCTCCAGTTGATATGCTTAATGAAATATTTCAATTTCAAAAGAGAGCAAACCATTAGTTTGGTGCGTATTCCTAAATGCTCTATTATGTGTCGTCGTGACATTTTCGGTACATTTGGAGTACCAATGGCTTTGAATATCTCTTACAATTAAGTGGGTATTTGTATATCTCAATTTTCAATTCATCTTCTATTCATCAAATAAAAGTTAAAGATTTTCATATCTTCCTTTAGTCAGGTTCTATAACTGTATTCAGCTTTTATTACTTAATAATATTGTTTTCTAAATGTACTAAATTCAAATTACATGGTTTAGTGATTTTATGTTGATTTATATCGGTGCACCAAACATTTCTGCTTAAACTGCTCTGTGCAAAGAAATTCTTTCTTTTTTTATTATTTTTATCATGTATTTGCATATCTAATATAAGACAAAATTCAAATATACTTTGGCTTGAAAATTATTTAACCAAATATTTAGACACACTCATCCTACAATTTAATTTTAGGAAATGTAAAAAATTAATTTCTTGTCAATTCTTTGATAATTCCTAAATTTCTAGACATTTGTTTTTAATCTTTTTCAGCCAAAATTGCAGCCAAAGTAATAGAGAACCGTACAAATCCTTCTACACCAATTATAGAATATAATCCAGGTAAGTTTACAAACATTTGGAGTGGAAAATTACTCTCATATTTACCTGAGTCCATTTTTTCTATGAATATACATTTGCAAATGTTTCAGAATTTAACTTGCTTTTCATAATTTCATACATTTATGAAATATATTGTCCCAAAATTTTCTCTTGTTTCTCTCACTATCAATTTATTTGATCTCAGTAAGGTGATGACACTGTGCAAGATTCCAGTCACAAAAATCTATCTTAGTAAATTTCCAAAAGGTTTGGGCTTATGCTCAGAAAATAAGGGACAACTAAATGAATTAATAAAATTCAAAAAGTAAAACAAATGCACTCAATACAAATTATTGTTTACTCTAAAAATTAATTAGTCTATTTTATTTGAATTTTATAAGATCTACCAAGAAAAGTGAAAAATGTAAGAATCTGAACACAAATTTACCATAGATGACTTACTAATCAAAACATTTTCTATATATTTTTGCATTAGTAATTTGCTTCAGTATCTGTCTATATTTCTGAGATAAGGTATTATGTACACTATTTACATTATTCAGACTATTATCCTCATCTTTGTCGCCATACTTATCACAATGGTGGAATGTTGAACTGAACCCTTTATTTCTCTCACTGGGGTAGACTGTTCTAGTTCCACATGCCATGTCTAATGGATGTCAGTTATCTCCTGTTAATTCCCCTCTCCAAGTTCTCCGTTGCCTTAACCAGGTATTGAACTCACACTCTTTGGGTCCTGTCACTGGATCTAGCTAACACCTTTATCCACTGTGCCATGTGTCCTTGAGGACATCTGGGTATGAATTTCTAGCTATTATAATGTTTTCAGCAACCATTTTTTAACAGTGCACATATTGCAATTTTTGCTGTTTTCATCGCATATTTTTACCAGAGCTCATATTGCAATTTTTGTTGTTATTATCACTTTTCTCTGGCACTCTTTATTACTGGTTCCCATATTGTATTTATTTCTATGCTTGGTCAGCTCAGGAGATTTATGTGGCCTAGCATATGTGCTGATTCCTTAAGTTTACGAATTTTCCAATGGTGTTCCTTGTCTATGTTTAACGTAATAAACCCTGCCTGTTGCAGCTCTGTCCTGTCTCTCTGGTGGTTCTGGCCGAAAAGTAAACCACCCGGCCCTCCCCCAGTGAACTGAAGGAACCACCACTATCTGCCACATTGTGAATTTTTGATCCAAACAGCAGTATTTCGATCCCTCAGAATGATCCGGAGATAGGATGAATTAAATGGCTGGGTATTACGCTGAAAGGAACTCACTATTCATGCAAAAAAAAGTTTCTTGTCGTAGCCGCAAAGACATGAAAAAGCAAAAGTAAGCAACTCTTTCAGTTCCTGTACAAAGAGCCCTTTTTAGGCCAATGTTTTTATGTCACTACCGAAGTATTTACATGAGTACAAAATGTCGTAACGAGGTTCACTCGTTTGGGGTCAGAAGTAACAGAGAGAGAGTAGGAAAATTTCTGCCTAAACAATTTCGGCTGATCTAAGGAAAGTAATTCATGGATCTTCGTCTGCACCCTATGATATAGCAGTCTGCTTTCTCACAGCTTTGTTGATGAAGTTATCTGGATTCGTACGGGTTCTATTTCTATCTCTTGGTTTGGATCGGTCTTCTTGACACAGGACAACCAACAGACCAGACCAGCAAATTCCAACAAGCTGTCTCTTTGGCGTTCCAATCTGCGATCTTCGATCTGACTAACTCAAGTGTGTGGGCAGCTTATATAGTGAGAGGTGGAGCTAAACCATCTTTAGGCACTGTCCCCGAATTTTAATATGCAAATCGCCTTTGACCACCATGCAAGCTTTTCCGGTCCTGAAACTCAGCAGGAAGCTAGTTTTCAAGAGGTACTAAAATCGGATTTGGACCTCCTGCTGGGTCTTCCGCAGCTAACACCTACTTAAGTTTTGCCAAAACCACTTATCCCATCCGGTTGAAAGACTACCCAAAAGTCCAATTCGCCATTTATCACAAACTTTTACTTTAACGAATCCGTCTCTTAATCACTCTGGAATTATTACATTTAATTAACTAATAACTCAACCCCAGAAACAATTATTAAGAGAAAAAAAACAAGAGAAAAAAAAACATTTCTGGAATTACTCCGGAATCCATTTTACCCAAGTAATTAGCACCTTCATCCTAATTCTTTAGCACTGTTGATTATTAAATCCACCTCGGGGTGGGGGTGGGGGTCTCTCTCTCTATGTCACATATGATCTCAACCTGATCCCACAGAGGGCAGTGATCTCCCTTCTCTCTCCATATATAGTTAGCCCGTCTGATTTTTCCACTTCCCCTCATGTTACAGCTTTCTGGTGTTCTTGAAGCTTTACCTAAAGGGGGCGGCCTGTCTCCCCTTTCCGCAGCTGCACGGGATAGCGTACACACAGTCTTTAGTCATGTTCTCCTCTATGCGGGTCTTACTCGGGAGAGATATCTGCGAAATGTTGTCCAACTTTTGATGGTTGTCCTGATGTTATATAGACTGCAGATCCTTTGTATTTTCTCTGATAACCTCTTCTCATAAGGCAGGCAGACTGTTTTCTGGATGTTGTTGTTCTCCTCTTTATAATACCCAGAAATTCACACACAGATGTCCTCAAGGACACATGGCATAATGGATAAAGGCATTAGTTAAATCCAGTGACAGGACCCAAAGAGTGTGAGTTCAATACCTGGTTAAGGCAACGGGGAACTTGGAGAGGGGAATTAACAGGAGATAACTGATAACTGACATCCTTAGACATGGCATGTGGAACTAGAACAGTCTACCCCAGTGTGCGAAATAAAGGGTTCAGTTCGACAGTTCAACCACCTGAAGAAGGCCGGAGTGTACAACAGCTGAAAAGTTGTGATAAACATGGCAACAAAGATGAGGAGAATAGTCCAAATAATGTAAATAGTGTAGTAATTTGCTTTTCATCATACTTATTATGGCTAGCAACTAATACATTGAGTATGTTATTTTGAAAAATCTCTTTTTTTATATTAGCTTTTATTAAATTCCTCAAAGTCTCTCCTATGTATTTCTTGTGTCAATCATTACAGGCTATAGAGTAAATTCCTGCTTCAGATTTTAGGTTGCTATTAATTTGTTTTATATTTTATTTTTTTAAAAGTAGCTTTAACAAATTTTTATATTAAGATGAGATAATTTATTTTCAATTGTAGTGGTAGAATTGGTAGGTAGTGTGATCTGCTTTCAATAGATTTGCTTGAATTGTTCATGCTTCTATTTTGAAAAATTTGAACCCTCTGTTTTGCATTGAATATAGAAAGCTACAGTTTTTGAATGCTTTTAAATAGAATCTAATAATTATTACAGATTTTATTTTGCTATTATGAGAATTACTGAGAATATAATTTACAGAATCATTTTTATTGATAGTTACAATAGTTCTAGGTCATTATCGGTACAATTTATTTAACTGCTCATCATAATGATTCTGACAATAATTTTGATTTTAAAAAATCTACTTTAATCAAAGGAGAAAGCAATTTACTAAGGCAAAAATGTATAGAAAGTACTTTGATTACTAAAGCATCCACAGCAAATTTGTGTCCAGGTTCTTACAACATTTCACCTTTCTTGCCAGATCTTCTGTTATCACAATGTGTGAGATTTAAAAACAAAAACGAGAAGCCAAAGCAAAATCATAAGAAAACAGAATCAGATCAGCTAGGCTGTATATCTTGACCTGTCTGGAAAAAAAATTAATTCAAATTTCAGCATTCTTGCATCTTGATACATTATTAAAACCAACGCTCATGTTTTTACATCTTCCTTTACATGTAAACTGCAATAAAAACATTACTTTAGTCTGAAGTCCTTCTAGAGGACAGAACACATAACAGACCTGTCACGGTCAGCTACTGACAGCAGGGGAGCGTCAACCACCGTCAACATGTGTGAATTACTATGAGAGATTGACCTAGATCCGAAGCAGGCTTATGAACTTTACCACAAGGTAGCTGTCCCAAACCCACACGTTCCTATTGAAATAAACCACATAAATCTATTTCTACTGTTGTCGTATTTCTTTCTTCCAACCATACGCTTGTCTATAACATCATATACTGAGATTATATATATATATATATATATATATATATATATATATATATATATATATATATATGTGTGTTTTGAGGGGATGCTGAAAAGTTCTTAATCCACTTCCCAAAATCTGACCAAACTACCAGAATTTTTGGTTAAGGACTTTGTCAGACTGAAAACCTTTTAGATCCTTTCCATGTGTGTGTATATATATATATATATATATACCCACACCATCGCGCATTTTTATTCAAATTTTATTGTTAATTTGCTGGTATTATAGATTTTAATCATCTAATGCTAATTTTAAGTAGTTATTTCTTTTCTGAAATTTCTCTTTATAGTTCTTTTTTACTTTGATCTTTAATTTTGCCCCTGACCTCCACACTCCTTCCCACATTTCCAGTACTGTCTTTTTGCCTTTGGTTGGTCTTTTTGCTTTTGGTTGTTTACCGCTGCCTCTTATTTTACCTACTGGCATGTATATTATTTTGACAAGGCCAATACACATATTGGACTGGCTTAGCTGTTCCCTTCCCACTACCTTCAAGATGCTAAGCACTCCTTGCTTCTGCCAAAGTTGTCATCAATTTTCCACAATTGCAAAGACCATTTCCCTCATCTCTCCATGCTAACCATAAAATTACCATCTTTCAAACTCTCAGAAGATGGTTGTTGTTGTCTGCACTTGGTAAGAGAAAGAGATTGATAGGTTGCTTTTCCTTAAGCTATACAAATGCCAGACAACCTATCAGTTCTTTCTCTATCACTTCCAGTCTCAATTCTTTCTACCCTCTTGCCCTTGTCACTACCCAGTCACTTTCCTCTATCACTGTTTTCTTGCAGATATCAGCAAGCATTGATTTATAATATCTGACAGTAGAAGTAGTAATAGCAGCATTAAGTTGATTATGT